AATTTATGAACTAAAAAGGAGTAGAGAACAGGAGACCATATGCCTCTTACAAGTGATCTGAAGAGGGCCTTGGAAAACCTGTGTTGCTTTTGTGTCATCAGACACTTGGGAGGCACATTAGCAACTTCTTACCAAGCTTAGAGTGACCCTAAGTAGCATGGGCTTATCATCCCTGCCTCCCAGTTCCTGTGTGAAGAAACCAAGTTCCAGCATGGAGAGACTGAAGCCATGTCCAGCACCCGCATACCCAAGCCCCAACTCCTGGACATGGTGGGCATCCCTGCCCTGCTTCTAGGCATGGCTGTCTGTCCCCTTGGATGGCCCAGGCCCTGAACTCTAGGTTCTCAGTGACAGTGACAGTCTCCTCTGGGCTGAAATTGAGCTTGCCTTCCTATGAGCAAGTCACTTTCCTACTAAATTAGAAACTTACGGGGAGAGGGTTCTAGAAGCAGTTCCACGTGCCTTGCAGGCTGCCACATGGCCACCCTGCCCGTCTCTGAGGCTGCTTTTTTTTTTTTTTGTCTTTTTCCTGTTTATCGGTACCAGGGATCGAACTCACGACTGCCTGCTTGCAAGGCAGGCACTTATGCTGCTGAGCTAAATCCCCAGCCCCCACTGTGGCTGCTTTTGTTTGTGTTCCTGACCAGCACCAGCTTCCGAATCCTCACAGGGCTTAGAAACTGAGTCACTCAGGTGCGGATGAGTCAACCTGAAAGCTCTGGGCATCTCTGAAGAGCTGGTGAGTAGAAGAAATCTCATTTCTGTAACTGCTGTCCTGGAGCAACCTGACAGCCCAAAGCTATAGTGCATCTGTGCCCTTTGCCCCACTGAGGACTCCGGGCAAGAAGGTTTCCTGGCGTCAGAGCAGCAAGCCTGCATCAGAGGGCCCCAGGGCCACCTCAGGGCCCATCCTCCCTACTTCCTCCTCTGAAGCCAAGTTCCTCTCCTTCCCTCCTTCCTCAGCCTCTTCTCCTGACCTGCCCTCATCTCCCCGCTCCATTTGGGGCATGAGAGACCTTCTGTAGCAGGGACATCACAGAGTGGCTGACTTCTCTGAGCCTCCATTTCCTTATCCATCCAATGAGGCTACAATACCACCACCACCCCCGTGGCTGTTGGGAAGACGGAGTGAGACAAAGGGAAGTGCTCAGGGGGACACACTGAGAACCTACAGGCTGTTACTGTCACTCTGGAATGCTCTTCAAGACCCGGCTTTCCTGTGTAGTCCCTTGTGCAGGGACTTCTGGCCTGTCCCTCCTCTGCAGGGCATCTGTCCATGGTCATTCCACTGTCTGCCACTCCATCTGTCTCAGGACTAGAAGGCTAGGTAAACATTGGTGATACACTGCAGAGGGGCTGGCTTTTTGCATTCCGGAGCAACACAGTAGACCTGTGTTCTAGCTGGCCAAGAGAAACATCATAAACACTGCTCGGGATGTCCTGGCCACAACCCACTGGTACATGGAAGGCTCTCAGAGAGAGGTTGGTGTTACCCAGGCAGCATGTTAGCAAAGGAAGGGGCAAAACAAATGCCCCTCAAGCAGCAGCAGTGCCATGAACTCTGTTCACAGCCTGGCTGCCACAGGGAGCTTCCGGTTCCTCCTGTCTTTGGAAGGCTCCAGGCTCATGCTTTAGGCTCATGTTGGTTTTATGTTCCCATTCAGCGGTGCTGACCCTGGCCTAGGCTGCCAACCCCTTGGCACATCTAGCAGGTTCTACTTCCAACCCAGGTATCTCATGGATCCTGGCACAATGTTCCCAACAGCCTTGGGATTGCACTCAGGCCCGTGGGAAATGGGGTACATGTCTCAACTTCCCCATCCCCAACCTGAGAAAGTGTCAGTCTGGCGGCCAGCAGAGAAACTCAATGCTCGCTGAGTCGCATACGTGCTCACATCAGGAGGTGGAGTAGGGATGGGACTTGTTCATGACCATGCCCGTGCTGGAGGGAATGTGACACTGAATAGCAAACACAGATCACCCTAGGCAGTGATGCTCCCTTCAGTGTGGCCAGTGCCACTGCTTTGTTGCTTCTGTGGCCCAAAGGCTGAATGAAGTGGCTTCAGGGCTGAAACCTACCAGGTAGCCAACTGTGGCAATCAACACTGCAATCACAGCTGTTGCTACCATTTAATTTGGCTTCTTGGGCCTACTGCTATTTGAATTCTGCCAGCAGAGATACTCAAAAGCTATGCAAAGCAGCTGGGGCTCCACCTGGGTGGGGTCCTCCCTGACAGCCCTGCCAGGCACAGCTGCCAGACCTCAAGACAAGTGTGTCTCAAAGCAGCAGGGACAGTGGCTAAAAGGCAATGATTTGTACAAAGCTGGGGAGGTGGGGGGTGTGGGTGAGGGGGCTGATGGGAGAGGCCTTAGGCTGCACAGTTCCCTTTCCTGAGGGTTCTTAGATGTCCATCCTGCGTCACCCTCCTGTAGCGTGCCTGGCCTCAGTGTCTTCATCCTTCTCTTCTGATCACAACACCCTCTCTGGCCTCATCCCTTCCAGCTGTCCTCTGTAGCAAGAGATCTTCCTAGAATCCTTCCATTTTGGGCCCCTGGAGGCAGAAACCAGGTATACCTCCCCACTGGGCCCTGGCATGGGGGCAGTGATCACCATTGTCGGAGAGCCTTGGCTGAGGAGAAGGCCCTAGTGGTTAGGGTGTTGGCACCAGCATCCTCAGTCACCCCATGCAGGGATCCCATTGCCATGGCAATGATGGCAAAGTGCCACGTGGCTGCTGCTGGGCTGTGAGAGCCTGAGGAGGTATCCTAGAGGCCAAGGTAGGTGCAGAACACAGAGGATATAGGACATATGAGCAGACCTCTGCTTTCTGCCTGGATGTGGTCACTTCTGGAGTCAGGGACTCAAGATGCTGCAGCTCCTTGGTGCCTAGCAGAGGAAGAAGAAGAAGATCATCGATGAAGGAGACTCAGAGAAAGGGTCCCTGAGCCCTAAGTCACCTTCCTCAGAAGATGTGTTGCCTGAAGACCATTGTGTGGATGATAGTCTTCTCCCTTCTGCCAGCCTTCTGTTTATATCCTTGCTGCCAAAAGCATCTCCAGTGGATGCAAATGATGCAGTGAATGAAGAAGAGCAGGTGCCACAGCCACATTCTCAGCCCAGAAGCAGTCAGCTCCAACACCTCCCTGGGCTGCATGGCCACCTGTCAACTGAGTGAGCATTTCTTGCAGTGGAAGCAGGGAAAAGATGAAACCCTTTTAACAGAGGCTCTTGTGAGGGGACAACCATGGTGGTTGAGAGCGTGTGCTTTGGGGCAGACAGACCTGGTTACCGCATTGGCCGTGCTCATAACTGTGAGACCTGGGGTGAGTTCTGTGAACTCATCCCTAGCTGCTCATCTGTAGAGGAGGAGCACGGGCAGAGGTGGACTGTGTGCAATGGTCCCTGCAAAGAGCCCAGTGATGTGCAAACCAAAGTGATGGCTCTGGGAGCTGCAAAAGTAGGGGGCAGGGAAGGAGGGAAAGACTCCTTTCTGGCTGACACCTTCAAGTGTTTGTCCCATTACTTCTTTCCCCAGTTGTACATGGCCACTGCTCCAGAGTCTCCCTGCTGGACCTGTGTGGTTGGGAAAGGAAGGATCATGTGTGGGCCCCTTGTGGCCATCCTAGAGGGATGGGGTGGGGGATGGCCTGGAGCAGGAAGATCAGGGCAGGCCTGAGATGTGGAAACTGGAGTGGGCTGAGGCCTCCTGGGAGAGGAAAGGTAGGCTCTTGGCTGATGCTGGTAGGAGGTAATGGGAATAACACTTGGCAGGACAGAAGGGAGCCTAGCTGGGAAGCTCGACCAGTACAAGGAGGCTGTAGAGAGTGTGGAGCCCGCCTGCAGAACTAGTGCACTCACCCCACAGATGGAGAAACTGAGCTCAGGTGGCATCTTGGGGAAGAGAGGTTCAGTTCAGTGTGTGGCTGCCGGGGCCCTAGATGACTTTACAGTAAGTAGCATCTGCAACTGGAAGTAACAGAAAGCTATGCAGGTGTTTATTCCCTCCCCCTCCCTCCAGCCCAAGGATCCTGGAATGACAGGCTCCCTGCTGCTCTGAGACACATTCCCTCTGGGTGATTGTTCCAGGGCTTGGGTTTGTCCTTTCTCTAATCCCCAGTGAGGGTAAGTGGCGTGTGGGAACTTTCTGCAGCAGTTGTCTGTCTTTTTAGCTCAGGCAACTGGGAGCCAGGCACCAGGGAGAGCAGTGATTCATGAATAACTCCTGACTCCTCCTTTTCGCCGGTGCCCCCTGGTCTTGTGACCCCGGTTGGGCCTCCTGCAGAGGGGGCAGGCACTGGTTCCACTCTACCAAACCAGAGGTTCTCCAAGTGTTCTTGATACTGCCTCTTTTCCAGAGACTAGGAGTGACTGCTGGAGGTTCAGCGAGCTAGAAGGTCACTTAGGGCCCCTCAGCCATAAAACAAAAACTGGGTCTCAACCTGGGCTTCACAGCTTCTGTCTCTGTGCCTTTATGGTCCTATCTTTCAAGCCTGAATCCAGTCACTGAGCTTGAAGACTCCATCTTCCAGCCCTGCCCCAAAAGGACTTACAGAGGGGCAGTGAGTGGGTTCCCAGGGGTCCTGGATACCTTGGTTACTGACCCCATTCCCTGCCCCACCACTTTGTGCTCTACACCCCCAAAGCACAGCTGTGTCTGTCCCAGACCATCAGTTCCTTGGGGACAGGACTTGGGACACCAGGCAACAGGATTGGAGGAAATAGATGCTGCAGGCCTGGGGGAGCCATGAGAATCCTGCCTTTCTGGGCCTGGCTTGGAGTGAGGCTGGGCAGATGAGTGACAGCCTCTGAGGTCCTGGGTCCCTAGTATTCACATTGTAAGTGGACTGTGAGCACCCTGCATTTACAGCTCTGATTATAAACCAGGCTGGGGCAGGAGCAGGGGCAGGCAGCAACGTGGCAGGTGGCAGGCGGGGCCCACACAGGGGAGCACAGCAGCTCTACTTCCTGTGGGCGTGGGCCCTGGTGCTGGCCTGGAAGGTTGCACAAGCCTTTCTCACAGGCCCCAGGCTGCTTGCCTGCCTGGCTGGTGCACAGCCTGCCTCACGCTGCCGGCCCTGCCTCCCCCAGGGCTGGCATCCCGCTCCCTGCCCTGGGACCTGGCCTGTATCCTCATTGCAAAGGCTGAAGGGGCCGCCTCTGCTGGCCCTCCCAGTCCTGGCCACAGCTCCTTCCTCATTCTCCACTGGTTCTAGCCCCAAACAAAACAGGTTGAGCTCTTTCCCTCCCTGTGTCAGTTGTCTCTGGCCTGTGGCTGTCTTCTGAATACTGCAGTCAGCGCCTGTTGGGACAGGAGGAGGTCTGGACAGTGCTTCTGGCATTTGGCCACGGGTAGCCCTGCCCAGGCAGGAGCACAAGTTTTGCACAGCAGACGCAAGGATGATGCCTCAGCTGCAGTTCCGAGATGCTTCCTGGGTGAGTGAGGCCGCCAGGCCATCTGGGCTGAAATGTCCCAAGGCAGTGAGTGATCTAATCTCATGAAATAGAGGCTGATATTTTAGTCCTGTCTTCGAGGTGGCCTGGGCTACTGTCCTGTTTGAGCAGAAAGTAAGGGGATCACTGGCTGTGCACTGGCTGTGGGGTACTTGGGTACAATATCTGCTCTGTGCTCGATGGGGAGCTCCCTCTGCTACAGCCCTGCAGTGGGAGCTTCCAGGAGAGTCCAACACAAGAGGGGCTTGAGAAGGCCAGGCTGGTAGGGAATGAAGGACAGGTTGGAGGTCTGGGCAGACATACAGGTTCAGACCTTGGCCTTGTGACTTACAAGCTGAGTAAGTCAATCATTTGATATCTTTGTGTCTCAATTTCTCTGTCTGTATAAGGGAGATAAGGACAAACAAACAGTTTCAGACGTTCTAAATATGAAAGTCCCAGCACCTTGCTGCACATCAAATGGTAGCTCTCTTCCCTTGCCCAATTCCTTGCTCCCTGCAGACCTTGGGGGTCCTCAAAGGAGGCAGTCAGAGTAGGCAGTGCCTTGCTTGCTTTCTTAAATTCCGTGCAACTGTAATTCAGGCTTTTGGCCCATAAGATAGTGCACTACCTGGGCTCATCAGTCCAAACAGCCTGCAAGTGGAGTACAACTCTGTCCCATACTGTTTTCCACTTGTCCTTGGTCTTCCCTCAGCTCCTGGGGACCAATGGAGACTTCTCTGGTTGGAGAGGGGATGTGGTTATGTTGCTTGTTCCCCCTTCAATCCCTGAATAGGACTTCCCTGCCCTCTGCTCAGCCACTCCACCCTGCCAGCCTCAGTGCCCTGTCCTGGGTGCAGCCAGGAAAATGTGGCAAGACAGCCAGATTTCTTTCCTTTCAGGGCCAGCTCCGTGTGAGTGCCCTGCTTCCCCTGTGCACTGCTCTACGGGCAGAACTGATAGGCCTCAGTTTCCCCATCATTACCCAGAGGGTAGAGGCCCAGCCAAGAGAAGCTGACAAGGGCAGAGCTGGCTCCACCCAGGCAGACACCAGGGTTCCCTGGCCTGGCACCTTCCCCGGGGCAGAGCCTAGGGGGAGTAATGTCGAGTGTAGCAGATTCCTGAATGGCATCCTGCCCATGCCTGCACTTGTCACTCTCTGGGCTGTGGCATATTCACAGTGCCCAGCTGTCTCCTCATCCCCGGGACTGGCTTCTGGGCTTGTATAAGGGGCTAGCTTCTCTAGAAAGGGTCAGAGTAGGTCACTATGGGCATCACTTGCCCCAGAGGCATGGTCCTAGTGTCCTCCTGTTGTGCCCAGCTGGCCAAGTGCAGAAAAACAATGCACATTTACTGAGCTTAGAGGTATGGCAGGTGCCATGCTCAGTAATGTGTACATAGTCACTGGTGTAATTCCCTATGGAAACCAGTGAAGTAGGCCCTATTGTTATCCCAGTCATCAGAGGGGCAAAGTGAGGCACAGAGCATGTAAAGGACTTACCCAAAGTCACAGAGCTGGAATTAAGCCTACCAGGCTGACTCCATGCTGACGTCAGCAAGGTTATTTCGTTATCCCCCATGGACATAGCATACCACTGGGTTTGGGGCCTTGGGGTCCACATTGGAAAAGTGGAGGGAATTCTGTCCTCTGACCTCCTGGAGGGGCAAGATCGGGCGAGGTGGAGAGAAGAGTTCTGAAGCTCAGTTCACAGATGAATCTTTCCAGCAGTGGAAACTGCCCTCCAGGGGCCTCTTCCCATTTTCCAAGCCAGAAGCCATGCAACCTGCAGAACCCAGCTGGGAATGAGATCCTGAACTAGTGGAAAGAAACTCTGGACCTGAGGTCACCAGTGCTTATGAACTTTGCTCATGAGAGAAGCCCTGTGGCTTGGAGTCAGGGCAGTGAACTAATGTGTTACAATCAGAGCAAGCAGCAATGAGCTGCCATTCACCTGGGACCAGAACACAGTTGGTGACAAACACATTGGTGGACCCAGGTGGTTAGAAGCAGCCTTGCATATCACAGGTAGCCAAGATGGAGTTAAGGGAGTTATAAAAAGCAGATATAGTGGCTCAGGAGTGGTCAGGAGATTCAGCAAGGGATGGTCACCCCATCTCTTGTTGGGCCCTCCTCAGAGCTGTCCACGAGGCTGCATGGTGGTTTCTGCAGCTGCTGTTGGCCTCAGCGGGACACCGATGCAGGCTGCTGTGGGAGGAGGGTGAGATATGTGTGGGCTGCAGCCCAGGAAGGGATAATTAGATTTCTGTTAATGCGCAAGACAAACGGCATCGCAGGAAGTTTGTGGCTGAACCTCAGAGTGGGACCTATCAGACATGATTGAGCTGACATCTCAGCCTCCCTTCTGAAAGGCTTTCCATCTCCTATAACCCGGGCCTACACTGGGTCAAAGGGCAGGAAAGACAGGGAAGGCCAGGTCCCGCCCTGCACTGCCTCTTCAAGTAGGATCCCGGTACAGGGGGGAGTTGGGTGCAGGCCAGTGAATGTAGAATAAATGAATGGACAGTTTACCTACCCTCCCAAACGCATCTTATCCTCCACCAGGTTCGTTAGGTTCTCCAGATGTGTTTTGAGTAAGTTTTTGTTTAGAAGATTGCCCCAGACTCTTCTCCAATCAGATGCATGAGATGATCTTGTCCCTAAAGAGGTCACAGTAGTGTGCTGTGGGTCTTGATTAGCTGGGCCTGAACAGGTGTGTTCTGAAATAAGCAATGTCCTAGATCCCTGTACCACCCATCTGGCCTTTGAAGAGGATCACTGGGTGTCGCTGTAAAATTGGAGTTGTGGTTCTGGGTCAGGTGTCCTGAGATCCATGCCTGGGGGATATTTAAAAGGAAGGTAAGGGCCAGAGGGCCTAGCCTCTCAGGGTGGCCCCTAAGGATCAGGGGACAGCAGACCTGAGTGCTTCTCTGACAGGGGTCTTCTGACTGTCTTTGAGATGTAGTTTTACCTGGAAGCTCCTCACCCCTGGAGCATGTGAGAGCCCTGCCACTTGGTGGGGGTGACAGTGGGGCGAGGCTGGGCCAGGCCCACCCCTTTCCTCTGTGTCCTCGTGTGTCCCTCAGCCATGGTGCCTCTTCCCCTTCCTGGTCTTGAGACTCTGCGGTTCCCCATTTAGGAAGTGACAGAGAAAGGCACTGAGGGCCCTACTGTGGCCTGTCCTGCAACTGCCTGTTCCCTGCTCCAGAACCTGTCCCCCTGGCCCTAAGGCTGACATTTCTTGGGCACTTCTTCTGCCCTAGCCTCTTAAAGCTAAAGAGTTACCTTGTAAAGAAACAATCCAATGACTACAAGAACCTAAAAAGGACAGTGGGAAAATGGAAGAAAAGAGGGGAAACCCCACCTTATTACCTCTTGTTTCTGGGTGACGAGACTAGGGTGCTGTGCTTCTGTGAAATTCTCCTACACAGGAACAGGCAGATCATGTGCATAACTTTGTATTCTCTCCCTCTTTTTTTCTATTTAAATTTTTATTTTAAATTGCAGTAAGGTACATAATGTAAAGTAGATCAGTGGTCTCTCTGGTGTATTCAGCTGAAGAGTTTGTCCCTGTTATTTGTATGCGACATATTAGTTAAAAGTGAAAGCACCCATCAGTTGACAAGAAATTATTCTGGTAGATACAGTAAAAGGGAATTGAAAGCATTTCCAAATCCATTGTGTAACAGAGGTTTATGTGTTTGAAGCCAACCTGGGAAACACATCAAGACCATCTCAAAATAGCTGGGCTTGGTGGCACACCCATGTAATCCTAGCTTCAGCAGGCTGAGGCAGGAGGATTGCCTTGAGTTCAAGGCCAAACTGAAGTACACAGTTATATCTTGTCTCAGAGAGACCAGAAAGAAAGAAAGAAAGAAAGAAAGAAAGAAAGAAAGAAAGAAAGAAAGAAAGGAAGAAAACAAATCATTTGAAAGGAAAACGAAACAATCAGAAAACCAGAAGTGACATGAAGCAGGAATTTGCATCCTTGTGGTTAACCTGACCAGTCACACTGGAAACCAAGGAAAGGCTCTATGCTCCACCCACTCCATTCAGTGTAAATTAAGTGAATTGAGTTAGGCTCAACTATACAACGCAAAACAGGCCCGAAGTTTGGGCAGAATTCCTGCCAGCCAGGTCCACATCACCCGGCTAGTTGTGGATCGTGTATGTAGACTACCAAAAACCCATACTCCCCTTTGGGAATTTGACTGGGGGGAGGGGTGGGGCAAGGACCAACTGTTCAACTGTCCCCGTAAGATTTACCATCTTAACCATTCATTAGTAAGTTCAGCAGCAGACAACCCTAGTGCTTTTCAGAATGAACTGGGAGAGAAGCCGCGAGAGTGGGTGTGGGGTCCTCATCTTCAGCAGCGCCACGGCTCACGGCTGCTCTGTTCTCCAGCTTTTGCTTTCGGTGGCCACACTATGACATATTTACCCAATCCCCTATTTTTGGGCACGTAGGTTATGCCAGCAATGTACTACCCGGGGGTGTGATGCAGGGGAGATCTTTGATCATATAGAGTTTTCCCTGAGGATTATTCCTATGGAGAACTTTTCAGCACAGGAGGCACTTTGGGATGGAAGAGGGGCCTGCTCTCACTCTTGGTATAAACAGTGGCTCTGAAGCCCCTGATAGTCCTCTGTTTGGGTGGGAACCTTTATACAGGAAGTAGGGACAGAGAGCTGCAGAGGTCACTGAGCCTGCAGTGGGGACCCGGCACCCGTGCCAGCTTTGAGGGAGGACTTGAAGGCCGAGAGGAACTGAGGAGCAGCAGGCTGTGTAGATAGTGCAGGAGGTGGTGACTGAGGCCCAGGCTGTCAGCCTTTGAGCCACCAGCTGCCTTGATGTCAGGAAGAAAGAGGGCATTTTGGAAGGGCATTTTGTGAGCACAGTGTTACCGTAAACTGTGTAGAGCTGAATCATGAGTCTCTTTGCAGCCTGTGGTGAAGGGGGAACCAGCACTGGCCCTGGCATGGGCTCACATCCTGGGACCCAGTC